AAGAACCTTCATTTTTTTAGTAGTCCATGGCACCATTTTCATTGCGCATGCAAGATAAACATCGTATTTTCTTCCTCCTAACTTCTGCAAGCACATAGATTTTATGGTTTTTGTAATAACAACGTACATAATGTACTGCCCTGTTTATGTGGTCGCTTAATTTCGACTTTTTTTTGTAATGTCAATAGTAGGTGAATAGATCAGGATGGCAGCTAGGTGTCGCATTTTTTCTGTCAATGAGCGAACGATTGAGATGGCGAGATACAATGAATATAATGAAAACAAAGCGATATCAAGGATGTAAGTGTTCTCAATTACATACACTTCCTGCTAATGTTGTAAAATTTACGGTCGGTGCACTGTAAGATATCGATTATACCTAGGAGGGAAGCGGGAAAATCGCGTTGACATGCAGTCTGGCAAAATGCTAGATTTTCGCAGTGTAACGTGCGGATTCTAAATGCATAGGACCACAGCTTCTGCAAGCTGATGCAAACATGCTAAATTTTTCTTGAGATTGAGATATCAGCGCCTCAGTATAAATAGCCGTTGCAGTCATTCTATGACCCACAAATTTCTTTCGAAGAGGCAATCGCCAAAGCTTTGCTAACTTCTGTAGCAGCTGTTTATTACACAGAGAATCGAATTCCTATGATTCGGAACTTCGAGGCCTAATGAAATGTTGAAAATAGCTGACACTTTTAGATTACAATTTTTCCTTTCCGCAATTTTTTGTCCAAAGCCTTTCCATCGATGTACTACTGGCTTTCAACTACAAAATAACTTCTTGTATTTATAGTAAGAATTGTTGAAAGGAGTAATGACTTGCTAAAACGAGGTTTCAGACAAAAAAGCTTTTTCGTTTGCCCATCCATATTTATCTGATGGTGTGAGAAGTATGTATAGGTGGATGTGTGCTGTATTGTAAAAGGTTTGCTGCTTCCGATGCTTTTTATCGCATTCAGGAATGTAGATTCCCCAAAAGCTTATAGCACGCCAAAGTAAGAATTCACAAAACGGCTATCATTTTCACATCAGTCTATGAAATTTGATGACCTACAGTGGGGTGAGGGAACTTACATACACAATAAGGTTGCCGCCGCCTAATTAGCGGAGTTCATGAGAGGTCATGAACTGACAGCAACGCTAATTCGCACTCAATTTGCGCCGAAGTTGAGCTGATTCTGCTCACAGTAACTCCGTCATCATCCTGCAGCCTATGAAACCGGAATTTTTTTAAAATTTGAATTCAAAGTTCAGTAGTAAAATTAGTCCAATCAAGGCAAAAATTTGTATTTGGGGATATTCTATCACGCTGATTCCTGATATGTTAATCATTTTACTTAAAACCTAGGATTTTTTTCTTTTTTGAATTAAAACTTGTTTTCACAAATAAAAATGTTAAAAATTTTGTAAGGGTTTTCTGACATGCTGTTTCCTAAAAAGCTAGTGGTCACGCTCCAAATTGAATATTTTTTCCCTAGAAATTTTATTTATTTTCATTTTCTGTAAATTTAACAAATTTCACAATTAGGGTTTTTTGACACGCTGTTTAAAAAAGCTGATGGTTGTGCATGAAACATCGAAATTCTTCTATTCTGAATTCAAACTTTTTTCGAATTGCTAATAACAGCCACAGGCATGCCCTGAGAGTCTTTGTGAAAAATTTGTGAAAACAAGTTTTGATTCAAAAAAGAAGAAAATCCTAGGTTTCAAGTAAAATGATTGACATATTTGGAATCTAAAATCGACATCGATCGATAACGAAAAGTAGCCTATGACACGCTCCCTGCCCCGAAGTATATGTGTCCAAGTTTGGTCCAAATCGGTTCAGAAATAAAAATTTCTATTCCGCACATACGTACATACAGACATACACACATTCAACTTTATATATAAGAAGAAGATAGTGGCTCCTTAGCTTAGCGGTCTAGTAGTAGGCACTTCGCGTCGAATAACGGAAGTTCGAGTGCCGACTTAGTCGCAGCGTTTTGCGATGAAGCATGTGGCGGCTCCTCAACAACCAAAGCGAATCCTCAAGTAGCACAACGAAACTCCTAGTTTCAGGAACGAAACTCGCAGTTAACTCGGAGTTTCAAAACGAAACTCAGAGTTAACTCTGAGTTAAAGGCAGTGTCTCACCAAAGTTGAGGTCGCGCGGATCTTCACATATTTTATTATAGGGACCTCTAAATAGGCCATTGCAACAAGTCCCACTCAATTTGACCCCCCCCCCCCCCCCCACTTTGAGAAAAATTCGCTCAAAGTGGTACGCGGAGAGCGACTTGGTACGCGCGGACGACTCCTTCGGTCTCCCCCTAACGCGTTTAAACATGTCTCTCTATTCGGCATCCACTTCCCCTCTGTTGCTGCCACTTTGGGTGAGGCTGAAGGTTGGAAGGTACAACTCGTCCACATTGCTTTCGCGGAGCCTCCAGAAAACGGAGTTTTTGGGAACTTCGTGCGATTTTGAGCCCATACAGTGCTAGACAGGGCAGGCATGCAAAATGCAAGAATCTCGGCAACTAAATTTTGATGAGACACTGCCTTTAACGCGCAGCTTTAAAATCGGAGTTTCGACCAGATTACTACCGGCCCAAATTTATAACAGTGGAAATTTCTCGTGATTTTTCGCTATTTTACTATCAAAATTCTGGTTCTCGGCGGTTACTCCCTGGATCGACCTACTTTTTTCGCTGTACGTTATAACAAAATTTACCTAACAGTGGCGGTCCGAGGGGGGCGGGGGAGGCGCCCCCCCCCCCCCCGAGAATGGGTCGCGAAATTTTTGAAAATTACCTATATGGGTTATAAAAATGTGCAAACGACTTGTTTATTTCTGTAAACAATTAAAATAATTTTTAAAATTTTTTAAAAATTCAAATTAGCCTAATAAAAAATTTTTTTCGGGGGCGTGGCTGACGCCACGCCCCCTTTTTCCAGATTTTAGGGGTGGGGACCCGCAAAAATTTTGAGAAGCACCCAAATTTTTTCGGAGTGCGTGGCTGACGCCACGCACCTTCATTTGAAAAATTTTTTGTCGCGCTCTCCCCCCCCCCCCTCGGTCCGAAATCCTGGGACCGCCACTCCTAATAAAATTCGTATAGTTCCGCTGAGTTACTCTCAAGTGCACCATTTGATAAACACGTTTATCTCAGCATTTGTTTTGCTTATTCTCCTTTTTTCATTCAGCAAATAATTTTTTTCAAAGCCCGAAAGTAGATAGTCACCCCCTGTACTAGCTCAAAAATGAAGGGTGAAGGGGAAGGGTTCTCACCCTGTATCAGCTCAAAAGTGAAGGTCAGGGAAGAATCGGCTCCTACTATCCATGTCTTGTTGTTCTTGGAAGAGCTCTTTCACAACCTGCAACCCAATTATTTTTTCATCTTTGTTTTCCATCCGAAAATGAGCGATAAAAAAGGAAGGCGCTTGTCCGCAACTTCATGGCGATTACTGTATTCCAACTTCAAAGTCGACGATTACGGTTACAGACTGGATCAAACAGTTTGGTTACATTTTCTTCTCATAACAGCTCAAATTTTGATTTGTAGCTCCCATAATCCAGTACAGTACAACCGGTGCCTTTGAAATGTGCGGAATAAATGTGATGTTGTGTCGGAAACGCCGCATCGATGTAACTCTGCTTGGACTCAGAATTCAACGAACAAAAGCACTTGTTTTAAAAGAGCCCATCAGAATATATCCAAAACTACTTTTATCTTTTGTGAAACCTGTGCCCTTTCAGATAAAAGCGACCCCAATTGGAATAGCGGACAGCAACTCTGGACACATGAGGAGCTCACAAGGGATAAAATTTTGAGGCCCTACCTAGGACCCAAGAGAGCTCAGATATGCACTCACGGATTAGATATTCATCTGTCAAGCAAAAAATATCGTGTTGGTGAGCGACTTGCCTCATGCTTGCATGATTTCATACCACGAAGGGTCAGTTTCGCGTGGGTATGCTCGCGCGAAATTATGAAAGCACGTCCCCTTTCCTCACCGTGGTCGTATCAACAGACGTAAGTAAATCAATCGCGCTCCCGCTTGAGCAGTGCCTCAATTAGGGCGCTCGAGATTGCTTTCCACGCAAGTTCCCCACAGGTCCCGATGTGCCTAGACTCTGCCTTTGAGTCAGTTATGGCTGTTGCGTGATCAATATAAGTTGGCAATATCCAAGATCGTAAGCGCCAAACTCGTCACCAACTAAAGTTGAAAGAAAATAGGTTTTGTAAAAGACATATGCACTTCTGTGGCCGTATTCATCACTGATGTTAAAAACTCTATCACTCATCTTATATATAAAGCTGAATGTCTGTTTGTCTGTCTGTATGTATGTCTGTCTGTACGTATGTTCCGAATAGAAAATTCCATTTCTGAATTGATAGGGACCAAACTTGGCACACATACACTTCGGGCCCCGGCGGGTGTCATAAGGTACTTTTCGTCATCGATCGATATCGATTTTATCGATTTTTTGCAAAATTTGAGCTACGGGGCTGGGAGTTGGCACAGGGGGGTAATCGAGCATGCTGATCACCCCCCGTTGGGGTGATCAGCATGCTCGATTACACCCTCTGCCATTTTCCAGCCCCCTTTAATCACTTCTACAAAAACTTCGAGATTATAATTATCAAACTGCATGTATTTTGTTTGCTGAAATTCGCTCTGGAAGTAAGTTTTTGGGATGTGACACAACCTCAGAAAACATGGCTGCCATACCTTTTAGGGGTTGTGCCACACCCAATAAACTTACCTTCAGAGCATTCAGATATTAGTGTTTTTATATCGTTACTACTGCTGACCGCCTGCAAGAAGACGCGAGTTTGGTATCCGCCTGCCCACGCGATTATCTGAGGAGGGCCGGAACTGTGCCGGTGCCAAGCTAAGCCGAGCTAGCGCCGTACCCATACAAACTACCGAAGCTATCAAAAGAGATTTCATTGGCTTGGAAGTAGACTCGCTGTATGCCCCGCCCTCAACGAAAAGACCTGTATTGATCAAGACTGCGCCGAGGCAGCAGAGTAGCCTGGCGCCGGCACAGCTCCGGCACTCGGACGGAGCAAAGGCGTATCGCCCAGGAGAGAGGACGCCGCTGAGCTCTCTACAGCGAAATACCTCCTCCAGTTCTTTGACCTCCGCCCTCTTGTCTGCTAGAGATTTGCACTTCTAGGTGTAATTTTCTTTGTTAGGTGTCTGATTACTTACCGTTTTAATGAAACTTTGGTAATGACGAAGAATGTCTTTAGCAGCTTCCGAAGCATAAATACTCCTCCTGTAAACAGCTAATTTTCCAACGTTCAATGGACGACAACAATAATCTTACCCCGTAACAGGAATAGTTTTGTAGAAAAGTCCACCATAACCGTCTTTCCATTCTTTCCCGCTTTCCATCGTCATTCTTTCGTTAAGTGCTTTCAGAGCATACTTCATCTGCCGTACTGAGGTGCACTGAATGCAAAGAACTTTGAAAAACGGTTCGAGAGTAGTTATCATCTATTGGACTACGGGCACTTTTATTATGTTGATTCTAAAGGCTTGTATGGACGAAATAATACCGGAAGAAGATGAGAGGAGTTAGAAATATCAAGTTTCGTACGTCCTAAATTTTGCTTTGTAATTATGCGTAAAGGGATTCGCCAGTCCGTAGTATAGTCATACCCTGTGTCTTTTACTACTTCATGTTTAAGGATGCTTCCATCCACTTGAAAGGTCTATATCTTCTTCATGCTAAAATAGTGCCCAGAATCCATGAATATTGTCGAGCCTTACTTCTTTTCCCACAGGATAACGCGAACATCAAACTCATCCGATAGTGTCCATAGAGCGATTTGGATTAAAAGTTTCGGTATGCAGATTAGACCCGGTAACGTACAATAGTTTTTTTCACCTCTGATCTTGGAAAAGTTGTGTTCGGTTCACAAAAAATCATAACACTCACGACTCCGTCGAATCGCTGCATTAGCGCAGTTTGGCGATTCGCCAGAGTGTACAGATTTACCATGCGCGTCTTTTGTCAATTGCCGTAAATCTTCAATTTTTACAAAGGCAAAACGCACTTTTGGCCAGTTATCAGCTTGGTGCAAAATTGGTGCATGTACTTACGGTCTTTTCTCCGGAAAGTTTTTTTCTTAAACTTCTTTTTCTAATTTAGCATGTTACATGTAAAGTTCCTTTCATGCTCTTTCTGGGTCGGTGCAAAAGTTTTGTCTGTATTCGAATCCATCGGCAAGTACGATAGAATAAAGATGTAATATCAATTCAAGTTGTATCCAATGAGTTCTTCCTCTTCTAGTTGCCATATTCACAACTAGAGAATGCTGACAGGGAAGGATGATTTGGCATTTTAAATATATACCAGGGAACCACCCTTGGTAAGTTAATCTCAAAATTACTTTCACTACTTGCCAAACGGCTTTGTGGGGGGGGAGAGGAGGGGAGTTATAAGCCCAATTTTCTTTCGCGCAGTCCGCGCGCCTACTAATGGTGAGCGCTAAAACCATAAACGGAGTTTAGCGGTGGAGCAGTGGCAAGGCAGCTGACTGTGAAGCAGATGGACGAAGGTCCAAGACTTCTTAGTGCTGTTTGTTTTGCGGTTTTGTAAATTGCCTGTAGGTGTAAAGACAAATACTTGTTACGCCGTTGAAACAGGGTATATATGGTATATATTGTAAAAGGCCACTATTTCCACAATCAGCTCAAATTTTTACAAAATGTGTATCTACGGGGACTATGATGTTACGACAATGGATTAAATCCGTTGGGTGGATCCGTTAAAAATTGCGCATCAAACGGATCCACTTGGCTTTTGGCCAGCAAAGTTGGGTCCGTAGCAGGGCTCCATGTCAGGAGTCTCGCCGCGCACGTCGCGTCTAAATTTTGTACTCCATAAAACAGCCCGGTGCTAAAGTGGCACGGCGCCAGTCTAGGGGGGGGGGGGGTGGGGGGTGGGGGCAGATACATGGCTCGTGCCATAAGTAAGACTGCGCCAGGAGTGCTGGCTTCTCTTTTGCTGACATCGCTTGCGGCATCGCTTCGCGAAAAATTCGTGCCGACAGTGACTCCTGACCGTTTCCCCAGTAGCAGTGGCGTGCCGAGGGGAGCCCCCTCCTCCCCCCCCTCCCCCGATAATGGGTCGCGTAATTTTTGAAAGTTAGTTTCATGGATTATTAAAATGTGCAGGTGACTTGTGATTCATATAACAAGTATGGTATACTACCACAAAATGTTCAAAACAGAAGAGTTGTAAATAATTTTCTCCTCCATTCGCGAGAGATGTCGCACGGTCCGACAACGAGCTGTGGCGTAATTCGCAGCAAAGCTTTTGTTATATGCGCATACCTGACACTTGCTTCTACCTGTGTGATCCTGTCTTGATAGGTAATAGATGCTGGTTGCAATCGATCGCGTTCTTTGTAAGTGCGCGCACGGCGAAAAACTGTTATGTTTTTAACGTTTTGCGAAAGAATACTATGCGTGTTAGTGTATTATTATCCATTGTCGTAAGATGACATTTCCCATAGACAATATTGTAGAAGATCTTAGCTGATTGTGGAAATAGTGGCCTTTTGCAGTAAATAGCTTTTTCCACGTGTAACAATATTTGTCGTCTACTGTCACCCAATAGACTTTTACAAAACTTCAAAGCAAACCAACACCAACAGATTCAAACCTTCTACCACGTGCTTCACAATCCGCTGATCTGCCACTGCGTCACTATTACACTCCCTCTATAGTTTGAGCGCCTAGCTTATTAGAAGGCGCGCCGGCTAGGCGGAAGAAAATGGCCTCATAGCTCTACTCAAATAACCGTTTAACAAGTGGCGAAAGTTGTTTTGAGGTTGCCTTACCAAGTTTGGTCTCCTAATTATACAGCTCATTTCAAGAGGCCACTTCGATGGATCATCCTTCTCATGAGATAATTGCTGAAGATTACATCAATTCATTTTCATCATGTCCAACTTTCGCGAACCTTTAAATTTTCATCAAAGATTTTTGGAAGAGCTTTAATAGCCAGCAAACCTTCGGCCAACGAAGAAATTTTTCCTCTTTTACCAATTACTCTTTCGGAATTTTACTTACCCTAAAATCCGTACAATAAGTCCGGACTTATCTGCAGTTTTAACACGAAAAATCGATGAAAAACCGCCCTCTGCGCCGCCAAAAGTCTTGCAGATAAGTCCTCCTAAATCCACTATCAGATAAGTCCGCAGCAGATAAGTTCCCTATTCTGAGCATGAGAAAGCGGACTTATCTGCAGGACTCTTGGCGGCGCGAGGGCGACTTTCGTTGTTAAGAAAGCGGACTTATCTGCTAGGTCTGCTGCGGACTTACCTGATAGGTGGACTTATCTGATAGGCGGACTTATTGTACGGAATTTAGGGTAATGATTTTCCAGAGTACTGAGTTCTGCGAAATCGCATATCTGCATATCTTCTTATAGCGCAACACACTGCAAAGGGGATACTGAAATTTTAACAATCGATCATTACTGTTACTAACCTTACATGAGGATCGTATGTAGATAGTAATTTTGGGGCCCTAACTAAGCCACCGCCCAACTGGCAGCTAGAGTAGTCTAACGGCTCAAATACTCCCCTAGAAACTGGACCTCAAAATCGCATTTCGCACACGGATCTATGGCGCAATCCAAAGTTCCGCGTGGGTCCTCGCACAGAACTGATGGTTGCTCCATGAATCTATGCGAAATACGATCCTGCGGTCGTCCAGTTTCGAGGGAAATATCTCAGCCGTTAGAGCACTACCTGAGCTGCCGGTTGGGCAATGGCTTAGTTAGAGCCCCAAAATTACTATCCACGCGAGATCTCCATATGTTTAGAATTGCGTGGACGCTGCCTTTAAGGAATTGTTTCATTTAGTCGTCCGGTGAATTTTTTCATATCTGAATTTTGACTGACATAAATAAGTCGTTCTTCTCATATTAGGTCGTTCCATAAGGGTGCCTTCATACCGCGCCGGCAGCCGCCGCTAGCAGCCCGTAGCAGCCCGTAGCTGCCGCTGGCCGCTTTTGTTATAGAGACGCAAAAACATTAGAATCATCAGAATCTTACTTTGAGTGCTCCTGCCTACGCTTTTCATCTCCCACGCTTTTTCTTCTGTTGCCGCCAATATGTAGTTCGATCTCACATATTACATTTGTTTTCATTGTTCTGCTCCCGCACAGTGCATCCTATCGGTGCTCAAATTTCACTTTTGCAATCTGTCTTGTCTAAAACGAATGTGAGCCATTGTCAAGATTGGAAGAACCCACGAACCAGTTCGCGAAACAATTCGGCGAACTTGCGAAATAGAAGCATGCAATTCAGATATGCACCGACAGCCAAGAAGAAGATTGAAGCAAGAGCTAACTCAAAAAGTCAACAAATTGCACACCTGCAGGAACTGGACGCATCCAAAGTCAGAGGGAATCACACCGGAAAGAAACTTCTGCGAACTATGGTTCAACAGAATGACTGCTCAGACAATCACAGGCTCTCAGCCGGCAGCCACAAAGCCACCGCGCTTTTGGTGGGTTTTCGTGGTGGATTTGTGGCTGCCGGCTGAGAGCCTGTGATTGTCCGAGTGTGGAGCGACATTCTAATGAAATGGACACAAATATTATTTGTGAGATAGCGTTACCCACTGGCGGCAACAGAAGAATAGGCAGGAGCACTCAAAGTAGTTTTCTGATAATTCTGCGCTTCTATAACAAAAGTGGCTACGGGCGGCTACGGGCTGCTGCGGGCTGCTGGCTGCTGCTGGTGGCTGCTACGGGCTGCTACGGGCTGCTGACGGCTGCTACGGGCTGCTACGGGCTGCTAGCGGCGGCTGCCGGCGCGGTATGAAGGCACCATAAGATCAGAGCGTTTTCATTTTCCTCTATCGTTGAGGAGCGGTTGATTTGGCGCAAGGTGCGTATATTATTTAGAAGGGGCTGATTGTGCTTTTCAAAGCTGGAACATGGCGCTTGCACATCAATTTGAGACAAAAAAGGATTGGATGGCTACAAAGGATAGGGGCTGAGCAGGGTGTCCCTGACGACTTTTCGGAGAACAGGCAGAACGTCCTGCACTGATGTTGTAGTACGCGATAGTAAATTATACCGTAAGCAATCCACTTGCAACGTCTAAACCAGGTCCTACAGTAGAAAATGCCTAACAGACAGATCCAGCGAGTTTTTCTGCATGAAAAAACATGGTCTTATACGGCAAACGTCGTCAAAACTGTCCTGCGCGAGGCTCCGTAAGGTGCTGGATCTGCGCTGAGTCAGCCATCGGACAGTGACAGTCACGTCGGCTATTTTTTATTGAATTGGAAACTAAGCTTTGCACCTTTTTTCATAACTTTCTCTCTTAAAATATAGCGCCTCAAACTTTAACACTATGTAGATTTTGATGTTTGTTATCGTTATGCACAAACCGTTTTTGATTTGCAGCACGAAATAGAGAGTAGGCATTTTTTGGAAGCTATTGAATTTCAAGTTATGAAGTTATAAGAAGAAACTGAGCCGTTTGCAAAACAGACCATGCACAACGATCCGAAATTGTGTGTAAATTCTTGCTACATATTGACTCATTTGTTCTGTAGAAAAAGAGTATAATTGAAAGAGTAATTGGGATCTGGCGCCCCTTGAACGAGACGCTGTACCTAAGAGTGGTGGGACAACCACTAAAAACTAAGGATTGGAACCTCATCATCCTCTGGGACTTCACATATGTACGAGAGTGCCTCTTGATTCTTCACCGTTTTTACCTTTAACATCGGCATTTCTCGAGACTGGGGCACCTACAAAGGGCACAAACACATAATCGTACTTCTGCATGTATGAGCTTCATAATGACATGCGTGGGAGGAGCTCGAGACGTCTAGGAGCGGAGTTTGCCGTTTTACTCCATTCATTTTTTCTTCATATGTAGCCATGGAAAAAATACGGATAGTGTACCATCGAATGTTCAATGTGTCAAGCATGTGCTAGAATTAATGGGAACTTTTGAGATTTTTTGA